TAAATTACATTATAACAAGAATGACAGCTATCTTCGGCACTCCGAAGTTTGTAAACTCTTGCAGTTTTCAATATTAAGTTAAAACTGTTTCTGCCTTCCAAAGGGGTAATATTTTATAATAATATATTTTTGGAAAATGAAAGCTTAAACATATCATAACTAAGTCAAAAATAGATCAAATTTAATTTAAAAAGCTTTTCTATGCTAGTTCTTTCTAGGCTAAAACACTGCATACCGAATTTTAATTTTTTCAGATATCCAAATTTTGGTCATTTATTGACAATTTTAACGATTTTATTTATATATTTATTTTATATTTAAAAATGTAATAAAAATATAAAAGAGATCATTCATTTGAAATAGGAATAGTAATTTAAAGAATGCGAATATAAGATTTTCTTGAACGTAAAGATGGTCAAAGATCAAGAGATTGAATAAGTCTAATATGCATATTCCTATTCGTCATTAAAGTCTTCATTTATAATAAAATATTACCATTTTTAAAGTTACACGGTGCATACACAAATTTGTGCTGAGAAAAGACACCATATAATGGAACAAAATCCCAGTGCAGTTCGGCTTTCCAATATACCCATAGGGTACCGGGTATAATAAAACTTTTGGGGCAATTATTGGCTGTCTCAACATTGCAGAAAGTCTCCCTACACTCTCTAATAAATTCAATTAACTCCAGTGGATGCCAGCGCCTTTGTTTCGAGCAGAGCAACCTGAACAAATTATACATTATCACGCTGATCTGATTCCCAGATTGCTGTTATTCATCTGCCGACTTCGACTTCCACTTTCGACGAACACCGACGGACGACCTGTGGCCAGTGCAGCGCCATTTTGCGCTGCGTCATCCCGAAAAAGTTAATAAAAACAGCGATTTATCACACTCCTAAACAGTAATCAATCTCCTACCGACTGAGGATCCCAGGTTTTCGGAACTCGGACAGGGGGAAATTACCTACATGAGCGACTTCAATGCAAACAGACCGCGGGTGGGATGCCACACCAGCGATATTGGGGCAATCCCAATCACTTTAGGTTAGGGTCTGGGCGCCATCCGAAAGGCCTCGCTTTTCCCCATTTTCCGGCCCCAGCGAGAGGTAACTGACCGCGTGTGTGGTCAGCCATAATTCAATGCCAGCGGATTAGCATATAATTATGCACAATATTTCTGCAGTTCGGCTGCCTGCCCACCGCTAATTCCCTTTCAATTTCCAAACTCGCGCATTTATTTAAGTCAGCGTCCCGGGATCCTCTCAGATCCCAGATCGCGGCGGCTATAATTGGCGTCGCACGCCCATGGAGGCGTGGCCGTATAATTGCCGCCGCGCCGACCGGAGGATGTGTTGAATTGAAAAGCCTGCCGGGTAATCCGATCGATTCCGTATCCCATATCCCGGTCCAGGTCCAGGTCCGCAGCTGAGTTACGGCCCCTGGCCGCTAAGTGAGCCGGGCGTTCCTGGCTGGGCACTCGCTCAACGCTTTCAACAACTACTTGTCCTGCCGATGCAACGCATTCAATGCACTTAGAAAATAATTTATATTGATATATTAATATCTCATTCTCTGCGCTTAAATATTATAAATAAGGGACTATCGTGAGCCAAAAGACACTGAGATATAAAAAATCTTCTTGGTATTAATACACTTTAGAATATAATACTTTGATCCCCAACTTCTTAACACAACCCTCCACAAATTCAGCACATTTTCTCTTGTGACCCCTTAGTTCTTCAAGTGTTTCCCAGTCGGTGGTCTTATCAGAAGCCATGGAGCACTCCCCGATCTGCCAGAAATGGCATTGCTGCGCATCCATTATCGGCTCTGTCACTGCTCTTGCTCGTCGTGGCCACGCCCCCAAAAGCGCCACTGGGCATCCTCTGGACTCCCAAATGCCGAACTTGAATTTGGCTTCGAGTTGTGAGTCCTGGGTTATAAGTTCTGAGTTATTGTGTGGATACGATCAAATTATAGGCTTAGGCTTGCATTAAACTCGCATAGACGTCGTCGGTTCTGTGTTGTGTTTTCTGGCTTGTGGTTTGTGCTTCCTCCTGCTGGCCTCCTGCTGGAGAGGATGCGCACATTTTATCATCGGGGCATCCGGTTGGCCCCTCCCATGGCCAGGGTCTCCCCTCCTTTACCTCTGTTCCCCTCGCAACTTGTCAACACGTGCAAAACAATGCTCGCGATTCGAGTTCCCATTCCCAATGCACCTTACACCGTGCAAATGAATTTGAATTTATGCAAATGAGCAGTGTGTTCGCACGCCGCAGCCACAAAGTCTGCGCAGGCACAGGTGATCTCCTCCAGATCTAAACCCAAAAAGAGTAAAAAAATAAAATAAATAAATAAAGAAACGATCAGCAGAATGAAACGCAAGCGAATAAAATAAAATCGTTCGAAATTGCACCAATTAAGGGGAAATGTATGGGTCCCTATAGGGATATGGAGAACGGGCGGGGGGCATGCAGATTGGCCTGCATTTATCAGCGATATTAAAGCGTTAAGTGAATTACTTATTCTCCTGGTCGCAGCGATGCGTTACCTTTCATGTCCTGCTGTCGGGTCCTCTGGGTCCCTCCAACTCCACTCTCCCCGGGAACTTGTCAATGCCGATGTCGATGGCCGCGATCTTGCATGCGACAATTATATGGAGGAGCTGAGCCCTCTGCGACGCCAGCTTGGCTCCCGCTCTCATGGCCGGGCGGCAAAAGGAGCTCTCTCAAAGAGGATCAGCGGTTGGGGGGAGGCAGGATAGGGTTAGTAGTGATCGGCTACCGGCCAGGCTATGGCCATTCCTGGTGCCGCTCCACGCCGCTGATCGATTCGGGCCCAATCGATCGGCAGCATCATGCAACCGCGCACAGCCTTCAGGTTCGTTTGCCAGCTCCGACATCTAGAGGCAGTGGTGTGGTCCAGCAGGGGTTTGAATGACTCGAAAATCTAAGCTGTGTAAAGAGCATCAGGAATCCCTGATTTAAGCGATTTAAGTTATTAAAAAATTACCATAACAAGATGCTTTTCTATTGAATTAATTCTCATTTTATTTCCTTTTTTAACCCCCGAAACTTACCTATCTTAGATCGCCCCTGAACTCTGATCCTCGTCCAGCCAGTGCCATTGCTGCTCCTTAGCTTAACAAATCGTGCCAAATAACACAACATAATGACAACAAAGCAGACGACAGGCATGGCAGCGTCCGCGTTCGCATCCTCAGACGTTGTCCAGTCCGATGCCTGGCTCGGGAGTCGGGAGTCGTCGGGAAGCTGGAATCTGGAGTTGGTAGTTGCCATGGGACTGCGGTCGGTGATTGCCATTTCAAGATTTTGCCACTCACACTAGCACACTGGCGTGGGGATGGCGAAAATTAAGAGATATTTATAATAAGCACGAAAACCACTTAATACTAACGCCTTTGGCAATTAACAGGTACAGGCAACAGCAACAGACGACGATGGCTGGAATAGCGGCCAGGATGCACGGATGATATGCAGCCCAGTTTCGGTAGGAGTTCCCCATTTTCAATTCCATTCAGACAAGCTTCTCAGTAACCCTATTGGAAGACGGATTGGCACATGACCCCAAAGCGCCACGCTTGAAATAATGGTTATATCGGGGGAAAACAATTTTAGGAAGTCACTGTGCTAGATGCACTGAAAATAATTATGAATAAAGACACATACGAATATTATTTGCAATTTATAAGAGACTTTAAATACAATTCAAAAACTCTGCCTGAGTTTCTCTATTTGTTAAGATATAATTAATTGCGACTTTGAGATAAAAAGGATGTGAATACTGTGGCTTTCCTACTCAAAGATCTAAGTTATTTCTTCGTTGCTTTATATTTATATTTTATGTTAAATGTGTTAATAATTATAATGAATATTAAGCTTAGAATAAAGGGCAAATCATCCAAAGACTTTGAATCTATTTAATTCCTTTAAAAGTTTAAACTATTAGGATCCTTAACTCAAGATTCTAAGAAAGTGTTGTCCACAAAACAAATATAATCCTTTCCTTGAATTATCCTTTCTTCTATTTTTGGTATATCAATCTAATGGCGCCCTGATGACTTCCCAAAAATCATGGTAAACAGCTCTCATGTCAAATCGATTTGATATTCAATGTTTCTGCCGGTGTAGCCCTTTCTCGTGGCGCAATCGCATTTCGACGACTCATCGAAAGCCGCAGGTAACCGGGATCTCATATGGATATTCGAAAGATTCGGTAGATTTTTGGGGCTTTAATTGTTTCGCATTCTCTGGGCTGGCAGGCGTCTTTCTTTCATCACCGATCGACGCTGGAGTTGACGCCTTCGGTGGCTCATTACAATCAATAATGGTTAAAAATGGTAAAATAGCGTCTGTGGCGCATGGTTCGTTCGATTGATTCTCACCGATCACCATTCAGCGATCCGCGTTCAGCGATCAGTGAAATGAATAACTGTTTTCGGGGACTGCCCCCGTGGATCTTGGGGCGATCTGATCTCTTGAGCGAACGATTATGGCAGTGGTTTTCTGATTTGACAGGCGTTAAATTAAAATTTAATTCGGCCATCTATATAATTATAGTGATCCATCCGAGCATACACATTGACGACAAAAACGAGGACGGACGATGGACGATGGACGATGGACGACTTTGCAGCGCATGTAATTAAAGCCACATTAATCACCTGGCTTGGACTTGGCCAGAGATCCCCCGATGCCCGGCCAGGCCAGGCCAGGTACTTGAGCTCAAGCTCGAGCTCGGGCTCTCTGAGCTGTGATGGAGCCTGTGCCGATGTGCCTCTGTGTCTGCTTTTCACTTCGCTTTTGGTAGCCACAAAATTGTCAGATTTGTCCACTTGAGTTATTTTCGAAAAGTCTCTCCTCTTTTGAGGGCCCCTTTGTGCCCAGTCCCCCTCCTGGTCCCCTCCTGGTGTCAAAGGGTGTCATCTTGCGAGTGTGAGTGTGTGGATTCCCAAACCAATTATACGAAACTCGTGAGAACTTATCGCACGCATGTCAGCGCTTCGATCTTTATTTGTACTCAGCACGCGGTTAGATGTGGTCGGTAGAAACTGAATAAATTAAGTAATAAAATTGCACTAAATTCTCGATTTAAAGCGATAGGAAAAATGCACTCGAAGCCAGTCGAATTGCTCTCTCACTCGGCGGTGGCGGTGTCGTGCTCCACGTTGATAACCTCCTCCTGATCCTGATTGCCCTGCTGCTGCTGCTGTTGCAACTGCTCTTGCTGCTGCTGCTGCTGCTGCTCCTGCTGTTGTCCCATATACTTGGCTATATACTGGCGGGCAAAGCTCAGGGCAAAGGCCGCCGCCGAAGCCGAGGGCACGGACATGGACATGGGCATTGACATGGTCATGGGCAGTGAACGGAATGCACTGTGCTCACCGCCCATTGATAATGGAGCTGATGCTGTGGGTGAGACAGTGGGCGCCACCGCTGGCTCTGCCATGTGGTTGATGCTGCTCCTCCTCAGGCTGTTGCTGCCGCTGTTGCTGCTGCTGTGGTAGTATTCCTGCTGCTTCGGCTGCTGGCCAGCTTCTGGAGCTGCAGTTGGAACTGGGGCTAAAGGTGGAGCCGAGGCCGGAGCTGGCAACGCCTTGACCACCACCGGACTGGGCGTGGGTGAACTCGAGGTCGAGGGCGATTCGCGCTGCTTGAGCAAGCTGACCCGCTGGTGGCGCCGCCATTTCGCTCGTCTGTTGGAAAACCAAACCTGGTTGATCAATCGGTGAAGAGACAATTTGTTAGTCGACCAAAAAAAGAGAGCCTGGGATCGGTGCTCACTGCTCCGAGTGTGGTTAGTAGTGGGTTGGGGACGGGGATGTGGTGCTCGAATGAAGGGAAGATGGACTTGGACTTGGAACATTGGACTGGGTAGTTGGTCCTAGAACCACGACAACTCACCTGAACCCTGGCCTCGCTGAGTGCCGTCCTGCCTGCCAGCTTCTCGCGGGTGCTCACGCAAGGATAGTGCGACTTGTCAAACTCCTTCTCCAGCTCGTCTAGCTGCTCCTGGCTGAAGGTGGTGCGGTTGCGCCGGAACTTTGGCTGGTCGCTGTCCTGCGATTCACTGTCCTCGCCCTCAATGTCTGCAATTTGGATAAAGAAAATTATATTTAAAGGAATAGAGGTATATACTGATCCCTTGACCCACCTATCACCCGATTGGCATCTGCATCCGGCGAGTGGCTATCCCGACTGCCGGCCTGCGACTCTGGCGAAAGGGCTGGCAACGAGAGGCGTCCACTGCCCGCACTGCTGTCTCCACAGGCACTGCCGCTGGTGGTGTTGTTGCTGTTGCTGAGGGTGGTGTGGCTGGGATGGGAGCTGTTGTTGCCATCGCTGCCATAGCTGCTGCCACTCCCTCCTGGCTGCAGGGATCCTACTGCAGCTCCTGCTCCAACTCCTGCTCCTGCGGACATTGGCACGGCATTCCACAGCGGATGATGCGCCGGCCAGGTGGGAAAGCTGGTGTACGGGTGCGGATGCGTGGGATGCATGGCGTAGCCGTAGCTAGCCGCTCGTGCAAATTCCGCCGCAGCCCGTTCCGCTGCACGATTCCGCAGGATACGGTTGATGCTGCTCACCGAGGGAGCTGTGGCATTGGTGCAGACACCTGGGTGAAAGAGAGAAGGAGTTGGATTGGAGTTACTAACAAAATTTATAAAAAATCACCCGGTTGGGATATCTTTCGATCCTTTGCTTAGTTTTATAATATTAAAGTTTAACTTCCTAATTTAAGATTAAGTTTAGCTAAGGTTTGTTCTTAATAACTCACCTCTTATTTCCGAATATTAATTGGTTATTAAATTAGACCCCTTAAGCAGCTTTAAATGGCTTTAAAAACCTGATATGTCTTAGAATAATAACCTGATCTTCGATTTATATATAAATATCTAAATACCCACTATAAGAAACTATACCACAATTTTCATAATTAAAGCCAAATATAGCTTCAATTTCTTAACCCAGTCTTATAGTTGACTTTATTTTGTACCAATCACTTAACCAATCTGCCTGTGATTAATTCCCTGCTCTTCTGCACCGGATGTTACCCATCATGACCTGGCTGTGACCCCGCCAAAATGAGCTGGAGATTGACTGTAATGAGAGGAGCGATTGGGATCAGGCCGTGTGTGTGTGTTCGTGCGTCTCATGCGGGAGATGGAGATGGCTATCGCAACGATTCATTGCACCGAGCGATGCGAACTGACGCCGCTGTCCAGTATCCACTCTGCTGTATCCACCGGCAAGTAGCCAACATCCCGCGACCACTGCCCACGGCAGCCAGAAACCGTCAACTGGTCAGTCGCTGGACTGACTGGCTGACTGGCTGACTGACGACCGGACTACTTGCTGCCTCCCATTTCTGTCCGCTCCGCGATTATCTCGATTGGAGATCCCGAAATGAGTGACACAAATGTGAGCACATTTACATATCAATCGGACTCGCTGGCAGCGGATGTTCATAAATTAGCCAATCGATAAATCTAAATCTTCCGCTGCGCTGGAACAATATATCCTGCCGATTCTTACAACATTAAATGAGGAGGAGCCCTCGGATGAATCGCCAGCGACGGCGGGCAGTCGCATTACGAGCACCATAAACACATCAATCCCTGGTCCAGTCTCGATGCCCGATTACTGATGGCTGCCGCTGCTGCTGTTGCTCCTCTTTCTCTGTCAGTACCCCTCGTCTAAAGAGGAAGCTGGCGGAGGATCTCCCCCTGAGCTGGAGAAGCGCGTAAGCAGGTTGGAGCTTCAAGAGAGCCCAGACTCTTGTCGCAACCGTTGTCATTTGTTGGGCAATTTCGCTTTCGGGGGTTCCCTGTCAGTTAATTAGCCCCAAAGGAACTCGCATTGTCTCTCCTGGCTCCCTATTCTCTGCTCAGTCCCTACTCCCAGGCATAATCGATGTCCTGGCCCATCATCGATCGGCATCTGCTGCCGGGCACTCATTGTTCAGTTCGTTCGCCTACCTTCGGTGATCAGTCGCTCGCGGATTTCCCACGCGAAGATCGTTGGATTCTCGCGCTTGTACTGCTCGATCTTGGAGACCACAGTCGGAGTGGCCACCTTGGGCTTGGAGCCGCCAATTAGGCCCGGTGGTCGCAAGGTGCCTGCAAAGAAAGCGAAAATGTGGATTAATTGGATTAAAGGATTAACATTATAGTCGAAACATAAAGAAAAGGAAATTGAATAATCTGTAAAACCAAAAGAAAATATTACAAAATTTCCTTAATTTCCTCCTAATATGTAATTTTTAAAATTCTTTAAGACTATTCCCCTTCAGAATGGTTTTTTCTGTGTAAAATTCAACTCAAAAATCTCAGCAACTCATTAAAATATTAATATTAATCATGCTTGTTTTCGGCTGAGGTTAAACCTCTCATATTAAAAAGAAATATCTGTTAATTAGATAGAATAGCCGAAAAATCTGTTTGGGAGTGTCTGTTGTCCGGGGCCCCCACATCCCAGTTGTGCAATCAATTTGGCTTTTCTCCTCTAGAGATGAGTTGGGGCGAGGTTAGGTGGGGCATCCCTAGGCTAGGCCCGGGCATTGTGATACTCAAACTCGCATAATTTTCACATTGTTCAAAGCAACCAACTCCCTGGCCGTGTGGGCGTTTCGACCAGGTCAAAAGCCCGCCGGCTATAGACGTACAGTGCATTGTGTGTGCCACTTTAGATGCTACCTGCTACCTGTTGACTGCCGGCCTGCCTGCCTGCTCCAAGCCACTAACTAACTAGACAATTAAGCCAGCAGCCCGGCATCCATTCAGCGGAGCGCTAATTTGAATATTTGACAACATCAGCGGCCCCAGAGAGAGACTGGGACTGGGACAGAGTCGAAGTCGCAGAGTCGGCTCAAATGATAATTCGTCGGAAGCAGTTGACAGGCGCGCGCGTTTATCTTGTAAATTGAGCGCTGTCGCGGAATTACACGCCGAGAAAATCCCCAAAAGATATCTCATAAAATTAGGGGATTAGCTGGTTCACGCGGCTATGCAATTTAATTTAAATTCGAATGGCAAGCCCATTATCTTTGGCCTAAACGGAATTTCATCACCTCAGGTGTTAGCGCTTTTATTATTATTGTTTTTATTTTTTGCTGTGCATTCGCTTGGCTTAAATTAATGAATGGACACACATCTACGCCAGCATTTGTTGTAGGTTTTTTTGCTGTGCAAAACGGAAATTATTTACACAATTTAAATTGACTAGAATGGGAATGAATTGCATCCACACAGATCGGATGGTGCGATTCAAAGTTACGCTAATGAATATTTGTGAATGGGCAGATTTATTTGGCGTAACCTAGTCGGACAATCAGACTTGTGATAAGCTCACATCGAGATACTATATAATACATTTTAGAAGAGGAGGTATACCTCTTTGATATAACAACAGAAATATCTCGATCCATATTGTATCAAAAATATTAGAAACTTTTGCATTTAACTTGATATTATCTGATAAATGTTGCTTAATTTATTTATCGATAAAATAAAAATATTTTCTAGCATCCTTAATACGAAATTAAAGTTGAATAAAAAATTTTCAAGCCTTTACTTGTTTTTTTTTCTAAGATTATATTATTTCTGTTTTAAATCTTTATAATATTCATTGTACAATTTTAAAGGATATTCAACTTCTGAGAGCCGTAATATTCTAAGATGATTTTACAGTTGACATTTCCAGCAGCTTAATACAATTTCTGCCCTCCTTTTAAAATTAAGATAGTTATAGAAGGATTTAAGTTAAAAGTTTTATAGATAAAGTCTAAAACAAAGTAAAATAAATATTAATATGAGTTGCCAGAAATATTTTAAATCTTCCTAAATAACTCGTTTCCTGTTGAAACTGTAAGCTTGCAAATCAAATTAAAGAAATTCGAGTGCGCAAAAGGCGGCAAAATCGCGAATGACATGCTCGATTGTCGTGGCAACAGGTGTGCGGCTGCCGCTGGTTTCCTCTTGGACCGCAGACGAGGTAACCAGGAGGTGTCCAGGTGCAGGTGGGGGCGATGGCGATTGCCAATCGATTTGTCGTGTTTACGTGACCCCGCAGACGGAGCCGTGCAAATCGATTGGAACGCTTGGGGACACTTGGCGATTGCATTTGGGGCGCGTGTTTTGTGGTTCCGCGTTATGCCGCTGATTGCATTGGTCAGGCCGGTGGTCTAGACCACGTCTTCTAGCCTGCCCTTCTGGCTACCCAATCTAACTTACCCAGCAGCTTGGACACGGCTCCTTGTTGGGACAGCATGTGCTGGGCCAGGTCGTATCCTCTAAGTCCAAAGCGGGACAGCTCCAGCAAGCGATGCTGGGAGGCTAAGGCGTTCAGGTTGGTGGCCGCTGCAGCCGCAGCTGCTGCCCCTGGTCCCGCCGAGCCGGGTCCAGAGCCTCCGCAGAAAATGCCGCCCAGCGCTGGAGCTGGCGGAGTTCCCGTGGCCAAGATGGGCGTGGATGGACTCAGGCTGTGTGGCTGGGAGAGAACTGAAAGGAAAAGGGTGAACAATGATTAGTACAGAGGGGAAAATTGGTTGCTAAAACAAATAATTAAAAAGCATAAATATTTTATTTTAAATTTGGAAAGTATATTATTATCTTTGAACCTATAGATACGTATATCTTAATAAATATTTAAATAAAAAAGCTTAATAATAAAAAATAAACTATTTAAGACTTAGATTACATCCCCATTTCTTTCAGTGCTTAAACTCAAAATCATTAAATGTCAATTGGAATTTAAACGAAGCTGTTGCCGGCATTCCACGCGTGACACAGAAACACCAAGAAATTTGTAGCGCGATCAGCGAGGCCTCCAGGAGAGGATCCCCCTGAAACGGGAGACAATGAGAGATATCTGGACAAATTTCGGTGTGTTTTTGATCGACGATGTCAAAGTCAAAGTGGCAGTCAGAGGATGATTCCTCCTCCTGCCCCGTCCCATGGCGGAAGTGTCAACGTTTATGGGCATAATGGACGCGGTGTGGTCCATTACCGCCGCCCGGTGACACTGACTGCTGATTCCAGTCGGAATTTATAAAATTCCCGCTGGCAATTTGTTGAAGGCCTCGATCTGGACTTGGACTTGTACTGGGATGGGGACGGGAGATCGCCTTGTCAGTGTCGCGGCAGCAATTGGCCATTCCTCGGATGTAGAAGCTTTTATGTTCATTTTGACATTTTATCTGATCGCGAGAACTGCACACATTTTAACACCTCTTTTTTGGTGCGATCGGGCTCCGCGTGTGGCTACGACGGCATGCCAGCCCGCTGGTTCCTCAAGAATGCTCCTCGAGATCGGGATGCGGATTGGGTTTGGCTAATTAAACCCCATGCAGATGGGACCGGGACTGCTCCACTCTTGGCTATAGTGAAGCAATTTGCTGCAATCGCTTGTTGCACCAATTGTTGCGGCGGTTATGGCCATGCTTGATTTATGCCGCAGCCAACTTGGATGTCAACAGTGGTGCTGCTCAGTGCCTCCGGATTGTCCCAGCCCCCAGTTGCCGTCACAGTTACACTCGCCGCGGTCCAGATTCTATGCTAAAGTCGGAGCGGGATCCACCGATGATTTACTACGCAATGCGACAGCTCCGACTGCCCCTCGATGCGCCTCGGTCAATTGCGAAAGCGGCTTAAAATCGCTGTAGCCACGGCCTGGAACACCGAACCCTTCGGTACTCCTTAAGGTACTCATACAGAGAGAGAAAAATAAATTAAATCCTTTTAATTTTAAGCATTAACTTCCCTAACAATACAAGTCATTTATTTTTAACAAATATTATACTAATATTGTTTGATTATGATTTTTCCACTTATTATTTTATAGAGAACATGACTTTTTTCGCAGTGCACTCACTCGTACGTCACCGTGAGACTTATAACAAGAAGCGATGCCGACCGAGACCCGATCGGTCTGAAGCTCGAACGCAACTCTCGGGATCGCAGCTCGCCACAAGTGATGATCGCCTCGGAATTCAATTGATAGTTTGATTTATTGCTACCGGTAACTTTTTGCCTCAACCAGGTCTCCCTGCCCCCCCTGTACCCCACTGGCACCGCATATAAATTAAAGTGGCTCGCTTTTTATATGGCTCCTCAACGCATCCTCTGCCTGGACACCGCAGCCCCAGTCCCACTCCCAGCCCCACCAGTTAGTGCTCGCTGATCTTGTTTGTCGCGCGCAGCGCATTACTCGTCCTCCAAAGCTTCTGGTTTTTACTGCCCAGTGCGCATTACTGCGATCTTCGCACATTTTCCTAAGCTCCAAGAATTCTGCCTCTTCGGGGGGATTTTTACATACACTTAAGTCACTCTAATTTTATGCCCAGTTCTATTAGATTTTTATGCCATGCTTGTGGCTTATAATTTATTATTAAATCTTGACTAGCCATCGGAGTTTAAATACCTTTCGGAATACATTGTATTTTGTGATGGTAATTTTGGATGGCATTTCGTAGTTATTTTAAATAACTTCCTTTAGGGTTTTGAAGTAGGTGAATTTAAGAGAAAATTGTAAATTTAAGTTTTACAATTTTTACAATTAAAAAGTAAGTTAATTTTAAATTTTAGAAAGATAACTAAACTGTATATATAATATTCTTTCCAGAAATACAATTATCAATTAGTTCTTAACTTTTTGTTGACAATTATTTTATATTTTATAAAACACCTCTTACATATTAATTTTTAAGTGTAGTCACCTTTATGTAGAAATTGCATCTTTGGTTTAAAAAAAGTCTTTTAAAGGTTGATTAATTATTTATTGGTTTTTAACATGTGTAAATAGCACAAATTACCTTAAGCAATAAGCAGAAATAATACTTTTATAAGGTGATTTGGTCATAAAATCAAATTGTTGCCTACTTTTGGCGTAAATCCCAAGGAAATGTTTTATAGAGACTTTAAAATCACTCGTAAAAAGTACTTGTAAAAGTATTTAAAGTGCTATCGTCTTGGAATTTGGTATGTAAATGCTAAAAAGTGTTATGAAAAATTAACACCTAAAAATTATAAATTTACTAAATTAATAATAAATAACTAGGACAGGTAACCATAACCATTATACAACCTTTTACAAGGTGACACACTTAGAAAGCTATTTCCCTTTTTTGACAGATTCTTGGAAAAATATAAAACCCAGAGCACTCGTGATATGATAACCCACAATACCAACTTGGATGACACACATCTGCATATATAGAAGAGTACGTAACGCAAGGCAAGAAGTAACGTAAGGAGCTCTCCGGGCCCTGCCATGTGCATTTCGAAGCGAAGAACCGGGGCAGTCTTCAAAATCATTGTGCACACCTTTTATACGCTTGGCTTTCTAAGAATAATGCGAATACACGCACCACGAAACCCGAGACCCCTAAGTATGGTTTCTGCCCTATGCTTAAACTTCAATGTACGACGAGTAAGCCATGTAGCCCAGTGTGTCCCCTGTTCCCGTCTCCGGTCGGGGTCCTCCGCTCTCTTTCTTTTATTTTCTCTTCTTCCTCAGCTCTTTTTATAATTATTTATTTATTGTGCAACTTCCAACACCTTCTAGAGACAAGTCAAAGCTTTGGTTGCCCCCTCCATCCGGGACTGGGCTCGGTGTGTATCTTGCAGATACATTCGATGGCCGGCGACGTGAACTAATTTTATTTGACAACCCATACTTGTGCAAAACAAATTGCCACTGATGTGCGAAAGACCAAAACAGTTGCCACAGTTGTGTATAGTCTGTTGTGTGTGCTGTGTGTTGCTGCTGCAGTGTCGCTGCTGCTGTTGCTGCGTTGCTGTTGCTGTTGTGAAATTTCCAAATCATTGCACTTTTCCAGCAGGCATTTGACTAGTGCCACCAGTTTCTTGTGGCTGGCTTTTGTCTTAAACTGTTTGGGGCCCCCGATTCCCCGATATCCCTGTCAGTTCACGGAATTCGCCCCGAAAAGTTGCGGCTCTCATGGAGCGTGCAGCACAACAGCAGCACAACACGAGCAACATTGGCGGATAACGCAGCCATATCGTTGGTTTTGGCAAGCAATATTAACAGAAATATTTGCAGGAAGTTCAGTGACAAGGGAGAGAATAATTTGAGATATATTGGACATCTTTCAAAAGGAATTTAGGAAACAGTATCTGCAGGGTACATGATGCATATTTACGGGATATTGCAGTAACTGTAACGTAAGCCACCAAATACTTTAAAATTAATCTATTAAAATCCGATATTCATATTTACATAATAAATTCATCTCTCAACCGTGGTATCTATGATATTTTGGGAGAAATTTTTAATATTTTAAACTTGAATGTATATGGCTTAAGTCGTCATTTAATCAGCAAATCAATTATTTTTCCATAAAATAACATTTATAATTTAACTTTTAATATTCAATAAGTGTCATTTATTACATCTTCAACACAGTTTTCTCTAAATATTGAAAACAAAATAATAATGTCGAAGGCCTGTGCTGTTGTTAGGTCATTATAAATAAATTAAATTTTGTAATAATTTAAAAATAATAATGAGAGAATATAGAATTTTCATATTATAAAATAATAAATGTTTGGTTGTTTGACACTTTTAGAGAATAATTATATCTAGCTTATTTATTTAATATAATAAATTCGGAATTATTATAATAAAATCAGGCTAAGATGTTTATAAAACTATCTATCTATAAAGAGATTTATTATATAACTTTGCTTATTAAACGCACAGCTTAAATTTGTCAAATATTTTAAAGTCCAAATAGAATTAGAATATCTTATTAAAAATAAATCAAAATCCATTAAACCAAAGAAAATGTTCTTCTGTCCTTACTTTCTTGTTCACTATCCTTATAATATTGAGTTTAGAGTCTGAATTTTATAATTATAATTATAATTATACAATATAAATAACATATATCTTAAGATCCCTCACCTGTAGACGCTGCCGTGGGCGACGTGGGCGTCATTGCCGTCGGCTGGCCAACGCCTCCGGCAGAGCTGCCCAGCAGCTGCAGATGCGACGGCACTGGCACCACGGCCATGGGCATTTTTCCAGCCGGGGATTCGCCGACGCCTGATCCTGGTCCTGATCCTGAGACCGGCAGGGATATCTTAGTGGTTGTCCTGGTGGGGCCGGGTGATGTGGTGGTGGCCATGCCAGGCTAGCAGTTCGTGGTTAAACTTAACTTCAGGAGCTACTTTCTTTTGAGAGGCGGCATTTTTGGGAGCTCTGTTTTTCCGACGGTTTTTTTTTTTTGTGGGTTACTACTCTCGAGGGGAACGCGGACCGGAACCGTGGCTTGTGTTGCTGCTGGTCGGTAGTGTTGCTGTTGCTTTTGCTGTTGGTGGTGTTGCCAGTGGTGGCTGTTGCTGCTGCTACTGCTGCCGCTGCTGCTGCTCAACGCTCGCTGACTCGACGCGCACCGCACAATCGCACTCGCACTCACACTCAATCCAACTCAACGCCCGCCGACTCGCTGACTGAGACTGAACTGGAACTGGACCCTGGTCTTGGCCGCAGCCGAGAGCCACTTGGCGATAGCTATACAGCTCGGGATCGGGTTGCCGTTGCCGCTTGTGCCCTCACTGCATTCTGGTTTGCCTGTGGTTGTGGTCGAGCCAGCCACTGAGCATTCGGGGGATCTCTCTTTGAGCGTCGTCGCACAATTGAGCGAAAATGCGGCCAGAAATCCAAGCCCAAGCCCAATCCCAATCCCATAGCCGAGGCAAAGTTGTAAAAGTTCAATAATTAATTGCTCGGGCCTTCGATTTCAGTGCATTGTTTGTCAAACTTTCAGGCCAGAGCTCTAGCTTTGGCTACCAGTTGCTTTCGGCTTTCGGTCTTTATAATTGACGAGCGATTTTGTTTGGTAATACAACTGGCCCGGTGCGACTGGGAAAGGTGTTTTTTATGGGAATGGCGAGACACCAAGAAATGGCTGTCAATCATGGATCACAGAAAAAGCAACACTGGGAAATACGAGATGTGAATTACATTGTTAAAATATTAAATTTGTAGGGGAAATTTTAATACCTAGGAAAATGTGCCACAGAATGTGATTAGAAATGTATTAAAGGAATTTTAAAATATATTATTTGGAAAGAAAATATTCTAATTGAGAGTAGAAACTGATTTAAACTGTAAATAATATATGGGATTTTGTTTAGGATGTTCTTAGTTTATAAATACACAAATGTATTAAAATTGGTAGCTTTTAAGGAAGCTTACTTTACATTAACCAGTTTACAATATAAATAAGATATATCTTTTAGATATAATAATATGTATATCAAATGTTAACTTTTAACTTAAATCTTTTGATGAGTATTTTTATAAAAAGAAAATTTTCCAAGTTACTTAGAAAGGATATTATTTAAGGCGAGAAATTTAAAAATATGTATAGTTCTTGGAATGGTTTACAAGAATTTTCATAGCAATCAATTATAAAATTGTACCTTGAAGTTAATTTAAAATTAATATATAGATACCCTGGGTTTATTAAACATTATTAAGTTAAATGAAAGCCTAAAAATCTGGTTCAGAGTTATCTTATACCTTATTCAAAGGAATATAATAATAATTACTCATTTTTATAACTAATATGGAGAATATGATTTTAATTTTGTATAATATTCTTATAAGTTCTATAGAACTAAACTGCAAGGATGTCCTACCTTGCACTAATTAACTCACCAATCTTAGTATTTTTTCTCCGTGATCCAGTTTTTGCATTATACCAGCCCCTCCTTGCCACCCTTTTCGAAGACAGGGACTTGGAAAAAACGCATTACACGAGACATTGGCGGACATTGGTGACTTGGCCGGACGAGAAACCAATGAGTCCGCGTTGGAGGCGACTCCACTTCTTCGCTTGGAGAGTGGAAAGTGGAGAAGAGAAAGACGTAACCGATTAGCGCCGGCCACTCGCCAGGAGCAAGCGAGAACGGACTAACTACAGAGTGGGACAGACGCCTGCGCAAGGAGCGAGCGAGATGCAGCAGAATCGCAATGCAACTGCAGTGCAGAGTGACAGGAGCGGCAAGCGACGGAGATGGATCGCCTAATTGATTTATTTAGCGCCCCCTTCCCCCCCTTTTGCGCGTTGGCCGTTGCTGGTTGGCTGAAATTACAGAAATCAGGAGCCGTGTAATGGCCGCCAAGTAACTGTACTCCTCGGTGTGTCTGTGTGTGTGTGCAAGTGTCGGAAGTTCAGTTCGAGCGCAACTCTCCACAGGGTCGTCCCCTTTCTAGCCCTCCCCCTAGGTGCTTAGGGGGTGCGACAGAGGCGAGTGCCTCCCACACTGATAATAGAAAATAATCAATTTTAATGGCCTATAATTTGCTAGCGCAAAATAACAATGATTCGTGCGGTGATTAAACGGCAAACTTCTGCCATTCAAAATGCCACCGCAGAAATGAAAACAACAATAACAACACGCGTGCTTAGAACTTTTCAAAAACCCGACACAGACACACATTAATTTATTTATGTTGATAAAAGACTAAGCAAAAGTTGCTTCCACTAAAAAATATTTAACTGTTTTGAACAGAGAGAGAGAGAGAAAGGGGAGAGAGTGACGTGCGCGTTGAGTTCAGCTCACCTTACATAATCGCAACGAGTGAAAGAGCCGCGCTTTGAGTCAAACTCAAGCCGAGCACGAGCGAGTGAGAGGCGGGTCTGTGTACTCCGACAGGTAAGCCAGTCATCTCGCTTTCTCGCAGGTAAATGCCATGCTTGGGCAATGACCAATGAGCAGTGAGCTTGGCGGCTCAAAGAAAGCCAACAACCTGGTAATGGAGTAAAGGGGGTCTTTGCTGGAAGATATCTCCCGGGCCAGGAGAACAGCCCCCCCGCTAGCCCCCGCCTGATTGATTTCGGCCAGCATGATTGATTAGATTAATAACGCGGCTAATTAAACATTTATCACTGTATCTAACGAACCGCCCGAAGGGGCGCAAATTAACCCTCCATCGCCGTCACAAATTAGTGTCCGCTGCTACAGTGCAACTTCTTTAGTTAAAACACAGTCGTTAGTCGTATTTTTTTTTAGGAATTATCATGCATTTGGTTTATTTAAATAGATAATTAATTAATTTATAACTGGTTAAGTAGGTATTTAGATATTTCATGGTATTTAATTTGTTTACTACTCGGAAATATATTAAGAAACAAGAAAAGATACATTTTATCTTTTATACTTTTAATATGGGACAGATTAGTTAATTATCGCACTAATATTATTATTTCTATAAATATAAATGAAGTCTATTCTATAGTCAGAAATAGTAAAGTTTAATTTATTTTTTTAGGAACTCGATTATAATTCACCTCAGAGTGACGTTTTGTAAAGGAATACCAAAATAAATGATCAAAATAAAAATAGAAAATAAGATTATACAATAATTATAATTTAGCCTTTTGTTTATTAAATATACATTTCAATAATTTTATAGATCATTGATCATTGATGAACTGTGTGAATTGTTAATAATTTATTTTGCTAAATGAAAATAACTAACTTAAATAACTTGAGATGATCCCAAGAATCTTAAGCTATTCGATATAAAACCATACCAAGTTCTGTGCCTCACTTTAAACTATTTAACGTAAGATGCATTTAGGCATTCTTTGGCCACTACTCTTGTCAAAATACTTCAACAATCCCATTATTTTACATGACAGATGTTTTATTAATTCTTATTTTTTAGCTATCGAAGTTGGACTGTGTGTGCCTGCTTCTAATTGCGTTTCGTGTGGCTTTTATTTCGGGGATGGGCGCATTAATTATGGCCGCCTTGGCTAACGCCTGCCGGCCGCCATTATTTCGGTAGCAAAGTGGCCAAGTTTCCAGCCAAGATAGCGATCTAGTATCTACATCCAAACCCAAACTTATGGCCAAGCCCTCGGCTGTTCCGTGCATATTTGTGGTAGCCACGCTTCCTGTTTTTGTTTGCTCGCCGCTGTCCGTTGTCCGCTGTCCGGCTGAAAATATTCGAAACAATGTAGACAAGAAGTGCTCAGCGCCGGGCGGAGTTTTTGTGGACGTGGTTAGCGACGCGGTGGTGTTTACCCACATGTAGGCATATGCATATGCTGATTTCCACCAAGGCGGGGGCTTCTGCTTCTCTTTTATTCACTTTTTGGGTGGGAGCAGGAGGAGACAGGGAACGGCCACCGACTTGGTGAACCGTGAAAAAAAAACAGCCAAGGGGTGGAGTTCTCCCGCTCCAGCTGAGGCAGGAGAATAGGAATTTCGTAATGTTAACAAACAAATAGAAAATAACTTTCATGCACAAAGCCAGAGCTTCCTCTAGGAGAGAGACAGTCGCCGACAGGGCACCTTTCGCCCAGAGCTGGTCTTTACACTAAGGGAAAACTCAAGTTAAAACTGGAATTTAACTTAATGTAGTTAAATTCTTATAATATCAATGAATATAATATTTTTTTTAAGGGGAATTGCTCAGGAGAGTGTATTCCCTTAAGTTATTTCTTGTTTTAAGTCGATTTTTTTTATCTTTTTATGGAAAAACTCTACAATGAAAACACTAAATAGGATATAATTTATAAATATTATTTTGTACAGTTACCTATCTGGTCAGGGAACTTGTTTTTATGCTTTATTTATTTATTAAATTTCCTAAATAATGTTTTAAGCTTTAATATGTTTATTTTTTATCGTTATTACAAAATTTTCAAAGTGCATAACTTCTTTTTGAAGACCAAGACCAGCGGAAATATGCTCAAGTTTTGTGTTTTTGTTGGTCGGAAATGTTTAGCGCTTGCTCAGAATGATTAAAGTGTCGCTTTTTGTCTGGGCCTCAGTTGCTTTTTCCCATTTGCAATGCAAAAATGTTCATCAAATTTCGCTGAGTAATGCCAAGGTAAAGAAATCTGTGTACTCTTTTTTATTTAGAGGAAACGGCAAAGACTTCCTGATTCTTCTGAAGGTTGATGTAAGCGTGAAATTAATTTTTTTAAATAACCATTAGTTTTGGTATTGTGGGATGTTTCATAGGAGATAATTAAGGGAACCTATGGATGTTATAAACAATTATTAACCTAGTCTTTATACTTTTCTTATAAGAAAGACTTTGGTGAATTTAAAGACTTTGGTGAATTTTTTCTAGTATCTTAATAGAGCCTGAAATCCTTATTTTTTGCTCTAAGCTTTTCTTCTTTTTTAAATTACAAATCCATTTTCATAAAAACAGGTAAAAATGCCACAGATTCAATTATTATAAACCCATATTTTTGCTATATATGTACAGTCCCATACATAATCCATCAGCCTTAATCCATTTGTTGGGTCTGTCACTCAGATTTAGATACCAAAGCTGGCGAGCGGCTGACTCATGTGCATCAATATCACGTCGAGCACGCACCACTTGGAGTTGGAGCTGGAGCGACCCACTTGGATGCCAGCCGCCGGAATGTAATGATTAACTTTTCGCAGTTGCTAAATTAAGTGAGTTTTTACTGGGGATCGAGGGATCGGGGATCGGGATTGAGGTGGGGATCAAGGGCCAGAGGGGCAGAGACATGATCGCATTGCGTGTCTGGGCGACTGGGGCCAGAAATGATTTCCACATACCACAGCAGTTAAAGCCCTTAAGTCAGGGAGAAAATCCAATTAAATTCGGTAGCGAAAGAAATAAGTCTGAACTGTCGGCAAAATGATTCTACATACACGTATTTGCGTCAACATTGATTTTGCAGCAAACAGAAACATCCAAACAGGGGGCATTGGGTCCCCGGAGGAGGAGGAGTTGTGTGGAGAGAGGAGCGGCTAAGCGGATCCAAGACAAAGACGGACAGAATGTAGTTCATGTGCATGGCGATGGCGTGATTGAGGACGAACCCGAGGACAGGAGCCACTGGAGTCGGCAACAACGGGAGAAGTATCAAAAGAAGCAGCAGCAACAACATTGAAATAATTTTAAAAATTAAGAACATTAAATTAATATTTTTTTTTTAGGGCTAAAATAATATAGTGTTATGGTTCAAAAACTAATATGTTAATTATAGCTTTTAGAT